AATGCTTGAATTAGGCAAAATTAAAGATTTGTTTAAAGGTAAACATATTGAGACAAGATGTGCCTAGTAATAGGGGCGGAGAATCCTCATTAGTTATATTAACCCAAGAGATTATAGATCAAGAATCATAAACTAAGGTAAAAAAGGTTTAATTAAAAATAAAATAATCTCCCTATTGTATTTTTTCAAGTTATATAACCTAATTGTATAATTCTATGTGGGTACATAAAATAAAAATGATGCAAATAACTGGTTTTATGAACAATGTCCTTTTTTATCTTCAATTTTAGACAATTAGCACTTGTTCGAGATGAAAAAAAGAGTTTAAAGATGATTTATAGTTTTTTAAGACAACATTAAGGTCAATAATTTTTAAACCAATATTGCTGGTGGACTGATCTCTCTATATATTTGAATCCTAGCTTCATCAGTGCCTTGGAAAGTCCCTCAATCCTAAATTATAAGTCATTTCAACTTTCTAAAGAGTCAAAGTATCTTAAATTTGACCAAATTTATATAATAAATAATAACATTAATGATACAAATAAATATCATTAGATTCTCCATTAATTATATTTTCAGAGTATACCTATTCGATATCATAAATCTTTTAAATTTTTTTATAATTTTGATTAAATTTGAGATGTTTTGACTCATAAAAAAGTTTAAGTAACTTATAATTTGAAATGGACGTTGTACTATATAATCAAACATGTCTGGGTTGCCTGGAGGGCACTAGAGCAACAGCCAAACAACCTCACGGTGCCCTGTAATGTTCACGTGCGTTGCTGCACTGCACTCAGTCACAGGCTTGGGATGGTGGCTCGGAACTGACAACTACTCAATCCATCTCAAAGTAAAACATTTAACTTTTTTACATCAAGTTTGACCACTCGTCTTATTCAAAAATTTATATAAAATATCACTTCTTTTGTCGTAGTTTGGTTTATTAATAAAAATTCTTCAAGAATAACTTAAATTTGACTATATTTATATAATTTTTTTTAATAAGACGAGTGATCAAACTTGAAGCCAAAAAATTCAAACGTCTTATAATTTAGGAGGGAGGGAGTTCGTAGTATATATATATATATATATATATATATATATATATATATATATATATATATATATATATATATATATATGATCCGGATCTTCACGGAATCACTGTACGCCTCTGTGCTCTGTCCTCCGTGTGACTGTGTCACGTGACCCAGATGCCCTTGCCATCGTGCTAGTATTAAAAAAAATTGCTGCTCGTTAGACATGCCTCTCTATATATATATATATATATATATATATATATATATATATATATATATATATATATATATATATATATATATATATATATATATATATATATATATATGACATGCAGCTCGAGTCCGTCGGCCGGCACAAGGCTTGGTTTTTTGCCCGGTTCAAGCACGGCCTGACCCGGTTGCCAACGGGTCGGGCTGGCATGGCTTGAGGGAGCAGATCATGCCTGGGCCTAACCCTAGACATGACGCGCCAGCATGGCCCGGCCCGACATTCAAAGGTAGGCATGATGCCGGCCTGTTGGCTACAGTGGCCTGGCCTGCTAATGGCCTAGAACACCCAATCATAAACCCTAACTTCATTCTCTCCACCCCCAGTCCCCACCCACGCCGTACTTAGGAGGAAAAGTGGTCGCAAGTCGTGACTCGCGACGCCATCCCTCCGCTCCTCCTCGGTCCTCGCCTCCTTCCTTATCGCATCGCCGGCTGCCTAGCTCCGAGCAGGTGAGCCCGCCTTCCTCGCCCCGCTGGATGCCTAGATCCGAGGGCTCCGCACTCCGGAGTCCGCACCTTCTCAGCTCCTCCCTTCCTCAGTCCCTCCCTAGTGGCGAGTCGAGCACGCGGCGGCGCTCCAGTCGCTCCTTTACGGCGGGCAGCGACGCATGGAAACTCCCTCCGGTTCCTGGCTATGCGGTGGCGCTCCCCCATGCCTCAGTTCCGACCCCTCCCCCTTTGCGACGCGGCAGCGCTGCTCACTAGCATCAAGACACGGGCCTCGGGCTATCCCGGCACAAAAAAGGCTCATAGTGCCTGCCTGGGCCGAAGGCTAAGCCCACGTGCCTAAGAGGCACGACCCGAGAGGCACGACGTGCTTTCTTGCCGGCTTGATGGCGTCTGGACCGTGCTGGCCCGTTGCCCATCTATAGGCATGCCGCATCCTGGGGTGAATAGGTCCGTTAAAACAAAACTCAAGCATATATCAAATTTCACCCCGCGACACTACCGCTCTGACCTCGAGGCACGGACAGCGGCACTGCTAGGCTATAACAGCGACACTACCGAACATGCAGACAACTTCGAGTCATAGTTCAAAATCAGTGAATAGAAACCTAGATTAGAGAAATTCCTTAGCTTCCTGCAGCTATGAGGTTCACAGATCGAGAGCTAGAAGTGGTAGAAACCCCACACACAAGTAGATCGCCCACAAACCCTAGAATCTACCTCAACAATAATATGAAATGCAAGTAAAGTAAATCAAGCACAATGTGACACAATGATTTATCCCGTGGTTCAGCTCGCCACCAAGAGACTTACCTAAGTCCACGTTGTTGAGGTTGCCACTAAGGCTAGGGCTTTGTAACCCTTTCTCGTTCTCAAGTTAAGAGAGTTACCTCTTGAGATGAGGGGTGAGTTTACTAGCTGCAAGAGATGGTTACAAACCTCTCGGGGCTACCACATAAGTTGGCAAGCTCCACAGGCGACGCTCTAGCCGACTAGGCGCCAAGCTTCAAGAGTAACAAACACATCCTCCGGCCAAAACGTGAACTGATCTTTAGACTTTGGGAATAAGTGAATTTGTTCTCTAATCGAGTTTGACACCTTTTTCTCTAAGTATTGATGGGGAAATCAATGGAGAAGCTTGAGAGCTCAAGGTCACCAATGGAGGAGAAAGAGATGAGCACTTTTCTATTCTTGGACGAACTGAACGGTTTAGAAGCCGGAGAGAGACGTTGGGGAGAAAGGGGAAAGGTATAAATACCCCCTAGCCTCAACGGTCATTTAAGTCATGGCAGAGCCACGGCTCAAGTGCGGCAGTGCCGCTCAACAGCAATACCTTTCTCTCAAGTGCGGCACTACCGCACAAGGCAAAACAACAAGGATAAGAGTGAAGTGTTGGCTGTCCTGGCTGAGTAACTGAGGATATAGGTGTAAGATAGAGCACTTGGTAGCACATGTTAGCTCAAGCATTGTGTTTCCCTTTATAGTACGCCTTTTTTTATACTTAAATTCAAAATATAAAAGAATTTAAACCTCCTTTAAGTTTAAAGCCATCGACATTTGTTATTGGGGGCACCTCTATTTCGTATAATATGCTCGATTATATATTCCTAGCTTGTCATCTCGATAAATCTTATTAGTCCTCTAATTGCGTGATCATTATCACCAAAACCTACAATTAATGCTTGATTGCACTTTCAATCTTCCCCTTTTTTGTGATTGATGACAACCCAATTAGAGCTTACAAAAAAAATATGAAATACAACTGAGATTTTCGAGCCATGGATGTAGAGCCTCCCCCTAAATGTGTGAATAGAGAATTGAATTCTCGAATTGGCATTAGAAGCCAATATTCACATTTTAGTTAAAGTAATGGGGCTTCCTCTATATTCATGCTGCACACTGTGACAGATAAATAAACGTGATACAAATGACAGTTCATGCACAGCAAGATAGCTATGACAACTGGGTGCGGCACTACTGCTCCATAGCCATTAACATCGTCAGTGAGAGCGGCGGCATCATCAAGCTTCGGGTGCGACACTTGCCAAGACTTGCTATAACAAAGACAGTAAAATCAAGCACCACACAGTATGTAACATATAAAGAGGTACATTCTAGCATAGTTATATGACAAGCTACAACATAGATCAATATATGTCCATATCCCATACATAGAGAGTACTTAGGTAGCAATTTGTAGGATCTCTGATTAGCGTAGATGGGGGGTGAATAGGCCTGTCAAAATAAACACTCAAACTTTCATCAAATTCAACTTATGGCCGCTGCTCGACTTCACTCACAGATCGCTTGCCAGACAAGCAGAGCGGACGACTGTAATAGCAATGATCTGCCGCACCTCTTGATTTCAACTTCGAGTCACAGTTCAAAATCAGTGAATGTAAACTTGAATTGGAGAAATTTCTTAGCTTCACAGATCGAGAGATAGAAGTGGTAGGAACACAACACACAAGTAGATCGACCACAAACCCTATAAATCACCTCAACAACAATATAAAATACAAATGATGTAAATCAAGCACAAAGTGACACGATGATTTAACCCATGGTTCAACTCGCTACCAAGACTTGCCTACGTCCACGTTGTTAAGGTTAGCCACTAAGGCTTAGGACTTTGCAACCCTTCCTCGTTCTTAAGTCAAGAGACTCAACTCTTGAGATGAGGATTGAGTTTACTAGTTTCAAGAGATGGTTACAAATCTCACGGGGCTGCCACATAAGTTGGCAAACTCCACGGACGATGCTGCTAGGAGCAAAGCTGCAAGAGTAATAAACACAACCGCCGACTAAAACGTGAACCAATTACTCTTTTGAATTGGAGAATCAAATGATCTGCTCTCTAATTAAGTTTGGGATCTTTTTCTCTCGAGGATTAATGAGAAAATTAAAAGAGAATACTTGAGAGCTCAAGATCGAGGAGAGAGAGAGAATGACGTGGCATGTGCGTTGGGGGAAGGGGCGCGCACGGGATGGAGCGTAGCAGGGATGCGCGGTGATGTACCCATAGCTAGATGCGAGTGTGAGTGGAGGAAGAAGCACGCATGTTGTGCCTATCCGCTGTGCAGGCTCAGGAATACACTGTCCGCGATGGGGTGAGACGCCGTGGCCAAGCATATAAATAAGCGCAACTAGCTGATGGCAACTGGCAAGGCGGCAAGCGATACCCGGCCACTCCCAGAGCCCAAGTAGGTAGAGGAACCCAGAAGCCAGAACTCCATGGAATCCGTTGCCGTCGTAGCGGTGCCGTTCCCGGCGCAAGGCCACCTGAACCAGCTCCTGCACCTATCGCTGCTGCTCGCAGCGCGCGGGCTGCGCGTGCTGCGCGTGCACTACGCGGCGCCCGCGGAGCACGTGCGCCAGGCCCGCGCGCGCGTGCACGGCTGTGGCGACGCCGCCGCCTGCGGCGTCGAGTTCCACGAGCTCGCCATCTCCGAGTACGTCTCCCCGCTTCCAGACCCCGCCGCGGACTCGCCCTTCCCGTCCCACCTCATGCTCCTGTGGGAGGCCTTCGCCGCCAGCGCGCCCGCCGCGCTCGCGGCGCTCCTCGGCGAGATCTCCGCCTCCCACCGCCGCGTCGTCGTCCTGTACGACCTCATGAACGCCTTCGCCGCCGAGGAGGCCGCGCGGCTGCCCAACGGCGAGGGGTACACGCTACACTGCACCGCCGTTTCATCCATCCTCGGAAGGATGGAAGGCGGGAGCGACCTTCTGCGCGAACGCGGCCTCGAGTACCTCCCCATCGGCCCCTACGTGACGGGGGAGTTTCTCGAGTTCGCGGGCAAGCGGGCGAGAGCCGCGCAAACGATCTCTTCCAGCGCCGGCATCGTCATGAACTCGTGCCACGCGCTCGAGGGTGAGTTCATCGACTTCGTCGCCGAGAAGCTGGCCGCCGGCGGGAAGAAGGTCTTCTCTATCGGCCCGTTAAACCCGCTGCTGGACTCAAGCGCGAACGAGCAGGGCGCAACGCGCCACGAGTCCCTCGGATGGCTCGACAGGCAGCCGCCGGCATCGGTGCTCTACGTGTCGTTCGGTTCGACGTCCTCCCTCCGCGGCGAGCAAATCGCGGAGCTTGCAGCGGCACTGCGCGGCAGCAACCAGAGGTTCATCTGGGTCCTGCGTGATGCTGACCGCGGCAACATATTTGTGGACAACGGCGAGAGCCGGCACGCCAAGTTCCTGTCTGAGTTCACCAAAGAAACGGAGGGAACAGGGCTGGTGATCACCGGGTGGGCGCCGCAGCTGGAGATACTGGCGCACGGCGCCACGGCGGCCTTCATGAGCCACTGCGGCTGGAACTCGACCGTGGAGAGCATGAGCCACGGGAAGCCCATCCTGGCGTGGCCCATGCACTCCGACCAACCGTGGGACGCTGAGCTGGTGTGCAAGTACCTCAAGGCAGGCTTCCTGGTGAGGCCATGCGAGAAGCACGGCGAGGTGATACCGGCGGCAACCATACAGGCGGTGATCGAGAGGATGATGGTTTCTGACGATGGGCTGCCCGTGCGGCAGCGGGCAACGGCGATCGGCGAGGCCGTCCGTGCGTCCGCGGCTGATGGCGGGTCATCCCGCAAGGACCTCGAAAACTTCATCACGCACGTCATAAGGTGAGCTAAGAAAGCAGGATTGGAGAACGCCTCAAGTGTTTGTTCCCGTTTGTGTTTTTCTTTCTTCATTCAAAATAAAGGAGAGTGATTTCTAGTTTATTCAATTAAAAGGGTAGCTAGAAAGCTGGTTGTACTGAACAAATTTGAATTCCCGATTTCAAACAAGCAAATACTAGTACATCAAACTGAATAATGGAAGCGCTCGAGTGGTGACTGGTGAATAATGGAAAATAATGGCAGTGTGCGCAGCAGCGTGCAAGACAAACTGTCCATCAAGCATGGAATGACCGAACAGGACCAACGACGACTACAGGGTCAATGTCAACGGCGGCAACAGTTAGGCAAGAGTCCAATAGGAGACGTCTGACGAGTGACGACCCTGAATAGAGAAGGGGATTTTGGGCCTGTTTAGATCCCAAAATTTTTTACGCAGTACCTGTCACATCGAATCTTGCGACACATGTATGGAGTACTAAATGTAGACGAAAAAAAACTAATTGCACAGTTAGGTGAGAAATCGCGAGACGAAACTTTCGAATCTATTTATAATTAGACACTAATTATAAATACATACGAAAGTGCTACGGTGACCAAAATCTAAAATTTTTTGCATCTAAACGCGTGCCTTTATCTAGACGAAATGTATTCATTGTTTTAAAGATTTTGAGGGTCCATTCAAATTGCAAGAATTTCAGAGCCAATAGAAGTTGTTTCTGCCGTGTGTAGCAAGCTTTATTAATTAGGGATAGATGTATGTTGTTGTTATGGTTTTGTTTTTGCACTACTCATTCTAATTTACTTGTCGTATGACAAAGATTTAGTAGTTGGATTCCCTCGACAAGTATAGAAAACGTTTATTTTGCACCGGCCACCAAGAATCAACTGGCCAAAGGACTTTTTTTTGCGATGAACTGGCCAAAGGACTTGTAGACCACGTGATATGGGTGTTGGGATAAGGGAGATCCTGACCAGGTGGAGGGAGCCTTCGGCGATACCTGAAGGTCCTAAGAGTTTACTCCCTCCGTCCCGTTAAGATTGTCGCTCGGGAAGCGGGATTGTGAGGGGGGCACGGTTTTCCAACGACAAACTCAATGGGACGGAGGGAGTACACAACAATCGACGCAACAATGATTCTAGAGTTTCGAGCCCAAAAAAACTCTCTGCCTCCCTTGGGGTTGAGCCCCGTTTATATAGGGTCATACATCATGTTCACGAACTACGTACATCTTTGCACCAGATGAACCAGAGCATATTCTTTTATGATCCTTTACCCTAATTCCCCCTCAGGGGCTATCTAGTCTTTGCCTCTTGGTTACCGCCTTCCTCTCATGGGCCTTTATCGAGCTGGCTTGGGGCGGAATCTTCCACCGTGGACCTCTGTCGAGCCCCACTAAGGCCCATGGACGTCTTTCTCCTTGGTCCGAGGCCTCCGCCTTGCATGTTCCTGATTCGGGTCACGAATCTTTTAGACTTCACCGTCCTCTGGCGTTCTGACCGAAGGCTCGCCTTTGCACGCTTTGCGCATGAAAGGATCAAGATGCCCAAGAGTGGGGGGTGAATTGGACTAATTCTAAATTTCTTTGCAATAATTAAGTCATACGGTTAGCCCAATTAACCCTTTACCTAGAAAGTGTTTCTATTGAACTAACGCACAAAAGACTTACAACCTAAGTTCCAATCCTACTCTAGCATGGCAATTCTATGAAAGTAAGAACAAGAATTGAATTGCTCAAAGTAAATGCTCAAAGTAAATAGAGAGGAGAGGAAACGCGGCGATATTTTGCCGAGGTATCGGAGAGTCGCCACTCCCCACTAGTCCTCGTTGGAGCACCCGCGCAAGGGTGTAGCTCCCCCTTGATCCGCGCAAGAATCAAGTGCTCTCTATGGGTTGATTCTTCGACACTCCGTCGCGGTGAATCAACCATAACCGCTCACAATGTGAGTTGGGTCATCCACAAGCTCTCTGGATGATCACCAAGCTCCTAATCACCACCAAGCCGTCTAGGTGATGGCGATCACCAAGAGTAACAAGCACGAACTCTCACTTGACCATGACAAGCCTAATGAGAAGGGTGGATGCACACTTTGCTACTCTCGATCTCACTAATAAGGGCTCTCTTTGGGATTCTCAAATCTCAATCACCTCATTAGGATCCTGCTCTTCTTGGCACTCTCAAACGTGTTTCTCAGCTGTTGGAATGAGCAAAAGTACCCCCACACACGAGTGGAGGCTCTATTTATAACATGGGCTGAAAAACAAACCGTTACGTGCCTTTGCGGGGTGACCGGACACTCCGATCATATTGACCGAACGCTCCGATCAGTACACCCCGAACAAGTGTTTACAGTGTGACCGGACGCTGGCCAGCATCCGGTCAGCACTGACCGGATGCGTCCGGTCATGATTTTCCCTCTCTGGAACCTTACTGGAGTCGATCGGACGCTGGCTCTCATTGTCCGGTCACTTCACCTCTCAGCGTCCGGTCGCACCGAACGCATTCTCCTTGGTCAAATGAACTGATCGGACCCTGAGCCAACGTCCAGATCAAACCGGAACTAACGTCCGGTCAGTATTTGACCCTCCATTCACTTCTAACTCTCGATCATATGTGAATGAAGTTTTCTCCAATGGATCTTAGGCATATTTAGGAGCTACCTAGTGCTAGTTTCAACAAGTGTGCACCACACCTAACTCACTAGACTCACCTAGGTCAAGCTACCCGTCCATACCCCCCTTAATAGTATAGCCAAAGGAAAAATAAAGTCCTAAACTACTCTAAGTGTCTCTCCAACTCCAATCGACACTTAGAACTAGTCCATCCATAACCTTGTCATCCATCATTTGAAAACCGAAACGATTTTCATCGTAGGGGCATGACCACCTTGATTGCCCAATCGATCTCCATTATCATGACATAACTTAATTGCCTCTGCAAAACACACGTTAGTCATAGTAATCTTGTATTGTCATTAATCACCGAAACCCAACTAGGGGCCTAGATGCTTTCAATCTCCTCCTTTTTGGTGATTGATGACAATACCACCTCGAGTATGTGAAAGAGTTGAGGTTTTTAACATGCTTGGATCATATAAGCTTTTGGCAATAAGAACAAAGGTGTTAGGCAAGCTTATATAAACCAAGCCAACAAGATGTACTCAAAAGATATGAAATAAGCATGAGTACAAGTAATGAAGCTCATTTGCATCGGAGTAAAGTGCGGAAGCAAAGGAAAATGAGCATAACACAAGTGATATGACATATAAATAATTCAAAGTAGAGAGCATACATGTCATATATCATGATCATGTAGATATCACTATCACATATATATAGTTCAATGCATGAAAGTAAACACACGATGAATACATAATAGTGTATCACACATATAAACTCCAAAGTAATATATAAGCTAATATAATAACTAAGCTCCCCCAAGTAGAGAGCACACATGTCATATATCACGATCACGTAGATATCACTATCACATATATATAGTTCAATGCATGAAAGTAAACACACGATGAATGCATAATAGTGTATCATACATATAAACTCCAAAGTAATATATAAGCTAATATAATAACTAAGCTCCCCCTAGATATGTTGCTCCCCCTAAAGCTAACATACTCGAACCCTCTCCCCCTTTGGCGTCAAACACCAAAACCTAAGGGTCGGTCGGCTCAGGCTTTCTGCGACGAGCAGGTATTTGAATGAAGGAAGCTAGGCTCGGATGCCATCATCATCTGATCCAGAGCTCTCTGCCGACCCTCTGCCACTAGTAGCAATGGTGGTAGGTGCAGGGGACATCGTAGGTCTAGCGCTGTGGGGTGTCTATCAAATGAAGCTCATGGCTCGATGATGCCACTAAGGAAGGGAGCATCTCTGTCGTGCCTATCACTGGAGCAATGGTGGTAGGTACAGGGACATGTAGGTCTGGCGGTGTAGGATGCCCTGTCAACTCACTGAAGGATGCACCGAGGCTCCTAGACACTGAGGTCTCTGGCACTAGCAGCGAGGACATCTCTGCTGGTGTGAAGCCCGTACAAACCAGCACAAGTGAAGCAAACTGTGCTGGTGGTTGTCCCTGACTCTAAAGCCCACTAGGCTGTAACGCTGGAGTCATGGCAGTGGTAACAGTCTGACCAAGCTGGGGCAAAGGCTGTGGAGGTGGAGCCCCAATAGCTGTCACTACATGCTGCATAAATCCAAGAAGCTGCTGCTGCATGAGGATCTATTGCTGATGCATGGCCTGCTGCTGCTGCTATTGTAGAGCCTGCGTCTGCTGATGTATAGCTAGCTGCTGCTGCTGGATCGCCTGCTGCTGGCGCTGGAACTCATCTTGCCAAGTCTGGAACTGAGCAAATGTAGCAGCTATCTCCTGTGCCTGGCAAGCCTAATCCTGCCTCATCCGCTCAAGTTTAGCAAGGAGAGCGGGGTCTATCTGTGGGGTAGGTGGCGCTGAACTGGAGTTGCCGGCCTCATGGTCATGTCGTTGAGGAGGCATCCGAGGGATAGGCTGGTAGTCATCATCGGAACTGTCACTGGGGTCGCTCACGACCATCCCTTCCTGCTGAGCAAGCTGCTCCTCCTCGGTAGCTGCAATACCCCTGATGATCTCATCCTACTGGGCTACAGACTCTGGCACATCAGGACGGCGATGTGGCTGACTAGGTGCTGTAGGTGTACTATGCCGAATCATCTGTGTCATGTTATAGGCAGGGAACTCTATGGTGGCACCACTGTACTCAGCAAGCATCTCTGGCGGCCTCACTGTGACTGCTCTGTGGATAAGGAATGTGATCCAGGTGAGCATAGGGCAGCCGCCACGTCCTCTGAAGCCCTCAGCAATAGTGTCCTCCATCTCAGACAGAAGAAGATCCTAAATATCAAAATCTGTCTGCTGCATCAGAGAGTTGATCAACCACAACTGTATGCGAGTCAAGCCCTCGCGATACCCCATCCTCGGTAGCAGCGTCCTCCTCATGATAGCCTCTAGCACTCTG